ATACAAAATATTTGCATTGTAACTCAAAGTAGTGCGCTCCTCGTTAAAGTGCACTGCCAATTCTATTTACTTTATGTTTCTTAATGTGTAATTTGAAAAAAGTTATTTTTAAAAGTTGAATTTATGTCTGAAAATACAAAGTATTAGGAAGACTTTTAAATAAAGTTTTCAATGTGGTGATAAGGGGATAACTTTCCTTTGAATACCCCTGCAAATCTTATTATAGCACACAATTTAAAAGGAAAAAAATAGTAGTCTTTTTTAAAAGTATTTTATAATTTTTAAAAATTAAAAATAAATATTTTTTTTCGCCTCTTCAATTTTTTAGTTGTTAGTATTTACTTTTTGGTATCGGTAAATAAGTTTTATATGTCATCTTTCCTATGAAAATATATTTATAAATAAAGACAAAATTGATACATCGTGATATTATTTTATAAATTTAATAAAATTAATTAATATAATTATTAATGTTTGTTTATATAATTAAGTTAAAAACATCTTATTATATCTAACAACCCATTTTTCATAATATATAATATAAGTATTTTATTAATAATTTTGGTATTTTTATTTTTATTAATGAGAGTTGATTAATATTTATTTTATTATTAATTATTATATTTTTGATAATTAAATGTGTTGATTTTAATGATTCTTATAATTATTTTATATATATATATTATGAGGTTTTATAATTAAAGGTTATATTATTTAATTATTTGATAAATTTTGGATTATAATACAAGAATTTTTATTGAAGAATTTATTTAAATATTTTATAAAGAGGGGAGGAAAATTTGTAACTAAGGTTAAGTGTTTTAATTGAATGGGGGAGTTATGTTTTTTTTTTTAAATAAGAAATTTTTATCAATTTTTCATTTTAAGCTCCTACACTTACACGCTTCAGAGCTTGGAAAATCGGAAGGAGAAGGAACTAGATGTTATTTCCTCAATGAGAGGCTTTAGGGAGCTCAACTCGTTCAACGAATATTAGGTGGTTGTTTTATCCTTGTGATCTTGATACTACCTTTTTACTAATGATTAGTTGATTTATTTGAGAATGCACATGAGATATATCAGGTGATATGAGCATTATGTTATATGTGAACTGAGATCATGTGTATGTTATTGCATTGAGTTTGTTTGACATGCATCATGTGAATAAAAGATGTTTTTTTAAAGGATACGATATGAAATACATCATCAGGGAATGTTCCTTATGTAAAAGCTTGGGAAGCAACCTTGGAGATAACCTAGTTTGGAAGTCCTAGTCATTTCATCATGAGCATGAGATGTATCTTGTGCGACTTAACTATCTCGACCATACCTTGATAATATATCCTTATAGTGAGAGTGTACAGTGACTTGACATGTATTCTTAGACTATTTTATGTGTATTGCTAGCAGCAATGCACAAGTGTGATATGTGATGTTTTATTGGCACCACATATACATGAAATCATATAATTTGTGTCCATTGCATAATGCATCATAATGTAACTATTATTGTTTATTATGCTATGCCTAAATGACAATGGTCATAATGTTTGTTTATGCATGTTATATCTTGTATTCCTTATATGTTTTTGGCTATCCAATTTTTATTCTTACACTGTGAGTCAGATTGAGATGTTTCTCACTCCTTATGCTATGTGTTGTTTTCCCCGGTTATTATGCAGGTAATCATCAGCATAAGGTTGAAGATATTGATGATGAGATTTAGGTTTTAGTGTTGAATTTTACTTTGATATGACATATGACATCGGGGCGTAGTTAGTAATAGATTAGGATATTGTTGTATTGAATTATTTTTGAAAACATTAATTTTATTCCTTATGATTTCATTGATTATGTCACTATATTAAGTTATAAATGTGATACTTTCTGCTTGAACACGTTGAATTATAAAGATCATATTATTCAAATTAATTTATTATTTATGTATTATAACATGTGAGATAGAAGGTGTCACATTATAAGGATAAAAAGATATATATTATAGATAATATAGATCATAAATATTAATTCACATTTGTTGTCAATATTTTAGTATGCTAAAATTGCACCCCCCCTGGCCCCTATTTATAGGCAACCAGAGTCACCCGGAACGGCCCGTATTGAATTCGGAACGGCCCGTTCCGAATCTTTCAAATGTACGCAAATTTTTAAACTGGAACGGCCCGTTCCAAAATCGGAACGGCCGTTCCCAAAAAGCAGAACGGCCCGTTCTAAAATCAGAACGGCCCGTTCCGAGACTCATCCAGAACGGCCCGTTCTCCTTCCGGAACGACCCGTTCTCCCTCCAGAATGGCCCGTTCCAAAGTCAGAACGGCCCGTTCTCCTAGTTGGAACGGCCCGTTCTGGGCCCGTTCTCACTAAAAAAATTTAGTATAATTTTTAAGCTTGGAACGGCCCGTTTTGCTTTTGGAACGGCCCGTTCCAAGTTACCAAAACACCCCTTAAATTTTTTTAAAATTGCGAAAATGCCATCAGTAATAAAATTACAAGAATACCCCTATACCTTTATAAAATTTACGAAAATGCCATTGATAATTAATAATAATAAAAAAAATGGGTATTACAGAATCCACTCTAGAGTTGTGCATCCGTCTTTTTATATTCAATAAGGTAAATAAGGGAGTGAGAAATCTCGCTCTAGGTGTAGGTTTGTATATTGAGTAGTGAGATTATCCTTCAATCATGTGTATGATGTATGCCTATGTATAAGAGATTTCTCCTAATGTTTTTGTTTTGCTCTCTATTCTTTTTACTCATAATTAATGGTATGAATTATTGGAATGTATGATCAATTATATGTTTTAGATTGTAATTGTATGATTTGAAGTTTCTTAGGATTCCTATGAGAAACTCTAAGAGACCTTGAGATAATTTGTGAAATTATTGATTGATATGCGTAAATTGAGTGATTTGAAATGTTAATTGCATGTTCTAGAGTAATTTTATCGATTGCACGTGTTTATGCATGAAATTGGATGTGAGTAACTTGTAGTTGTTGAGGTGACATGATTTTTACGAAGGAAGATCACATTCTCTCTCAACGAGACATGCAAGGTCACTCAACGAGAAGCTTCAAGGAGCTTAATTAGCTCACTTAGTTAGATATTGGTCGCTCAACAAGAAGCCTTAGGGGACTTAGCCCACTTAGTTAGATGATTGGTTGCTTAGTGAGAAGCCTTAACTCGCTCAACTAGATGTTGGTTGCTTAACTAGACGTTAGTGGCTCAACTAGATGTTGGTGGCTCAACTAGATGTTATTTCCTCAATGAGAGGCTTTAGGGAGCTCAACTCGTTCAACGAATATTAGGTGGTTGTTTTATCCTTGTGATCTTGATACTACCTTTTTACTAATGATTAGTTGATTTATTTGAGAATGCACATGAGATATATGAGGTGATATGAGCATTATGTTATATGTGAACTGAGATCATGTGTATGTTATTGCATTGAGTTTGTTTGACATGCATCATGTGAATAAAAGATGTTTTTTTAAAGGATACGATATGAAATACATCATCAGGGAATGTTCCTTATGTAAAAGCTTGGGAAGCAACCTTGGAGATAACCTAGTTTGGAAGTCCTAGTCATTTCATCATGAGCATGAGATGTATCTTGTGCGACTTAACTATCTCGACCATACCTTGATAATATATCCTTATAGTGAGAGTGTACAGTGACTTGACATGTATTCTTAGACTATTTTATGTGTATTGCTAGCAGCAATGCACAAGTGTGATATGTGATGTTTTATTGGCACCACATATACATGAAATCATATAATTTGTGTCCATTGCATAATGCATCATAATGTAACTATTATTGTTTATTATGCTATGCCTAAATGACAATGGTCATAATGTTTGTTTATGCATGTTATATCTTGTATTCCTTATATGTTTTTGGCTATCCAATTTTTATTCTTACACTGTGAGTCAGATTGAGATGTTTCTCACTCCTTATGCTATGTGTTGTTTTCCCCGGTTATTATGCAGGTAATCATCAGCATAAGGTTGAAGATATTGATGATGAGATTTAGGTTTTAGTGTTGAATTTTACTTTGATATGACATATGACATCGGGGCGTAGTTAGTAATAGATTAGGATATTGTTGTATTGAATTATTTTTGAAAACATTAATTTTATTCCTTATGATTTCATTGATTATGTCACTATATTAAGTTATAAATGTGATACTTTCTGCTTGAACACGTTGAATTATAAAGATCATATTATTCAAATTAATTTATTATTTATGTATTATAACATGTGAGATAGAAGGTGTCACATTATAAGGATAAAAAGATATATATTATAGATAATATAGATCATAAATATTAATTCACATTTGTTGTCAATATTTTAGTATGCTAAAATTGCACTAATATTTTTTTCCATGCAATTGTTAATTTTTTCCAATAAAAATGTACTTAAAATATGAAAATACATAGAATTATTATAGCCCAATAGAAGAAAAGAGCCCAAACCAAGTCCCACATTAGTTTTCCCTTGCAATAATAAACTAAAACTAGATGTTTATTGTTGCACAGGTTAAAATGATGTACATATATTATATTTAAAAAAATTAAAATTATGTTAAATTATTATATTTAATAAATGTAAAAAATTGAAATAGTAAATATAGATAATACGACATTAAATTTTTATTGTGATTTTAATTTTTCAAGTTTATTGTATTATTAACATAATTTTTAGACAAATGAAAACAATTTATTTTTTATATTCTAATTTAATTATCAGAGATATTAAAAAATAATTAAAATTAAAGAAATAAGTAATAAATATGTCATTTATAATAATATATAAAATTAATTTTATAATAATGGTTGATTAAAAAAAACGAGTCAAAGGATGTATGTTACACTTAACATATACATCTCACCTTACTATGTGAAATCCTGCTTAAGAAAAACATCATCATTCAAATCAGGGAATCCATATTGAAGTCTACAAAACCTTAATCACTCTATAAAATTGACCAGATCTCAATTATTAAAACAACTTCAAAGCAACTACAAAGTTTTACTACTTGGATCACACTCCATGACACAGAAGAGTAAAGTGATCAGGAATCACAATTTGGATGCAGGATTCTCTATATCCTCATAAAACAACTTGTTCAAATGATCTATAAGCGAAGCCTGCAAACAAACAGCAACAACAAAGCCATCACCCGTAGCAGTGTCCAAGAGGAAAGCCTTCCCATCAGAGTTAATATTCCCCGGAAGCAAACAAAGGGGTTTCCCCCACCCAAAATCCGTCTCCAAATACGCAAAATTCGTCCAACCAACCACATACAAATTAGGCTCTCGCCCCTTTCCACCACCAGAGTTATAAAACACGTCCCTCAACAAATCCATGTCCTCCAAACTCCCTACATAATCAAGAGCAGACCTCACGTACTCATCATTCATCTTCTCCACCGCTTCCCTCACTCTCCCCACAGCATAGCCAAGAGGCTTCCCCATGATCCCATCAAAGGAACAAGTTTGCGTCACCGTGGGAAACGTTGCATTCCCGAAATATGACCAAGGGAGAGAAGGGCTTAATCGGTTTCTACAATTCACCAACGTGGTCAACCTTGTGGGTTGACTTCCATTTCCATTGACAACATAACGCACCTTACAAACACACTTCCACAAGTGACCACTTATAACCTCAAAACTAGTATAGGGTCTTGGAGAACCATACCCAGTTGCGAAGTCTGAAGCTTTGTCCTTCAGTTTCTGAACTTGAACTTTCGTGAGTCTCAGAATGGCCGTACCAAGCACTTCATGTCCGTTAATTTCTGTCGAAAAATCTAACCGATCATGATTATCTTTAGCGAGATGTGTGGTTTCTTCTGCAACCGTAGAATTTGATACCTGATGATCAAGTTGTTGAGTCCAAAGGGGTGGTGGGAAAAACTCGGGGTGTTGGAAACGCGGTGGTTTATTGAGTCTTCTCGAGTCCAAGATGCTTCGATCGTGGAGAGGAAAGAGGGTGGAGTCCAAATTCTCTCCTCTGGCGAGTTTGGCCCACGTGTTGACGAAGCCAGTGACGGAGGCGCCGTCGAGGAGGGCGCGGCAGAGGGCGATGGCGAGGGTGAGGGTGCCGCAGGGGAAGCGCGTGAGCTGCGCGACGAGGAGGGGGACATGGGCGATGGGGAGAGTGTAGTCGATGGCGGCGACACGTGGCTTGGATGAGGAGGGCTCCCTGGGCGTTGCAGTGGAGGATGTGGCGGCCGCCGGGGAGGCGGCGGAGGCGGCCGGCGAAGGGGTAGTAAATGGTGAGGGCTTGGGCGAGGGAGGTTGCGAGAGTGTGTGCGGCGGCGGAGGAGGGGTGGTGGGTGGCGGCGTAGATGAAGAGTTGGGTGCCGTGGTTGGGGAGCTTGATTTGGTCGCAGAGGGAGAGGATGAGGTCGGAAGATGGGGTGGGGCCGGAGGGTGTCACCACGTGGGAACTCTCGATGCTCATCATCTTTTTTTTATTCATGCAAAGGAAAGGGAAAGAAGGTTGGTTAGAACACCTGGAGACTGGAGTTAATGGAGTGACAAGCGACAAGAAAGAAAGAATATGATAGAAATGATGCCTCGTGAATCGTGATTCATTTTTTATGGGTTTAATTACCTTTTGTTCCTTCTACATCATCAACTTTCCGTTTTACTTGTTATTCTCGTAAACACTTGCTTTTAAATACAGGTCAAGAGGGATTATATTCCATCCGATCAATATTAATCATCTCAATCCAAATAAAACAAAGCGGTTTAATTCGGATTATCGGATTTTTATTAAAAATTAAAAATTCAATTTATTTAATTTGAATATTAATTTTGATTTTTAGAAATTAGATAAATTTGACTAATTTAATATATTATATTATTATTATTATTATTATAATTATAATATTTTGAATTATCAAATTTGGATTATTAGTAAAAGATAAAAAAAAGGAACAAAGCATACCGATAAATTGAAAAAGTTGACAGCTACACTCAACACTTTGATCTTCAGAGTTGAAAATAACTTTATGTCGCCTTATGTCCCCAAACAAACATACTTCATATTCGCATAATTGCAAGTTCTGAGTGCAGCTACTCAAAAGAAGATTGCAAGATTTTTCATATTCGCCATGAACTAAAGAAAAAATGGTAGGAGTGTACACATCTCTAGCATTTTTTAGCAACATGATATTCATACTCAATGGTGGCATCTTTTGGTTCATCTCATAGTTAGACTCTATCTCCTTGTATCGCATGCCCTCGAACGCTTCTAACATGAAGCACCGAAAGAATGCCTCATCTATGAGTCATTAAAATGACTTGCAATAGTAGGTTTTACAACTTATTGTTAATTGCAATATAGTCCTTGTGATAAAATAATTTTTAAAAATTAAAAATTATCATTAATTTTGTAATACCAAATTTATTCATATGAATTTTTTTTATTTGGGGTTGTTGCTCTTCCTTTCGCACCACTCCTATCTCACTCCACTACCTCCAACTTCACGTCTTCTCCTTTCCCTTCATGCTTCCACCCCTTCACCACCACTAACCTCCACCCTCTCTCTCCGTTGCCACCGCCACCTCCGTCACACTCCACCACCTCCAACCTCACGTCATCCCCTTTCCCTTCATGATTCCGCCCCTCCACCACCACCACTGACCTCTACCCTCCCCGTTTGCTGCCGCCGCCACCCCGGTCCCACTCTAAGTAAAAGAAAATCAATTTCTTCATGTGACAATAATAACCCCTACTAATCAAATTATATTTTTTTAAGAAAGGGACTAATCTCCAAAATAAAAAAAATAATTACCATGGAACTAATCTGCAAAATTTAAAAATTTCTATTTATAAATTACAGGTAACAAATATGAACCGTTGATTATTTTATTATTAAATCTAATGGTTAAAAGTAGTGCTTCATCAATGTACCACTTTTTATACTGCTTCATGTTAGAATTATCGCATGCCCTCAAAGTTCCTGAAAATTTCTAACACATCAAGGTAGAATTCATGTAAAGCCTTTAGCGACTATTGAAACTTTCACTTAATTGTGTTGTAGCATCAGCTGAAAATGTGTGTCTCCTATATACCAAAACCCAAATTTCTTTCTTAAAGAAATCTTGCATCCATTTATTTTGATGAAGGGCATGCTTGTCAAGTAATGATCCCCAAGCATTAAGAAATTCATCCTCATACTCAAAGTCATAAATGCAATTCGTAACTCTAGCAAAGGAATCTGATCTCTTAAAGACGTGACTAAACATTCTTAAGTGCATTTTGGAATAGATGCCAGGTGCATAAACGATGATAAGATTCAGGAAAAACCTCTATAAATGCTTTTGCCGTGGCAACATCTTGATATATGAAAATTGTCTTTTGGCAACACCATCCTCACCAATGAAAACAGAATGTGAAACTTGCCTAGTTTTAATGAAAGAAAATGATAATTTGAAACTAACACTTGCAACATTTTGTTGCCATTTGAGATTTTTTTATAATCATAATTAAATATTTTAGAATTTTTATAGTTTTTGTTTTGTTAATAAATTTGGTTAAAAGTTATTTGTGTAAAAAAAAAAAAAAAGTAAGTCACATAAACAAATAATGTTTGTCTGTTAATTTAATCATAATATGTTATTTGTTTTATTCAATTAGAAGTTAGTTAATTTTAATATTTAAATACTTGTAAATACTTTCGTGTGTATAAAATTAAATTTACAATTCAAATATATCATATTAATTTTTGTTTCCTTTTTAGTTTGTGATGTTGCAGATTATAATCTCCACCTATTATATTTTTTCCTACTCATACACTCTTGTTATTCATGTTTTTTTTAACACATTCACAAATAGGAGATTGTTAAATTATATTATGTACAATATTAGTTTTGGTGTAGTGACAAAATGTGTTTTTAAGGACATTAAAAACTCAAATCACAACATTGATTGAAGTTGTTTGGGATAGATAATCTTTTCAAGAGACTCTTAACATCCTATCAACTCTCGTAATACATGGAAAGAATTAAGTTGTTGGATGATTTGTCAATGTTATGTGTGACACCCTCTACCCCGCATATCCTACTACAATAAA